CAGATGCTGCCTGGCTTGCTGTGTTCTTCCAGCCTCCTGTTTGTCCATCTTGGATTCCAGCATCTGCAGTCTTTTTTTTGTCTCTAACCACGTCTGTATCTTATTGTGATCTATTAAAGTAAAATCACCATAGACCTACTGGACCATGGGGCTGGTCTCTCATTAAAGAGAGAGATGACTGGTGATGGTTTAACCTGAGGGTCACTGCACCTCAGGTGAGGGGAGAGATTGAGAAGGAGAATCCTTCGTAGTAACCTCAGTCAGTGCAGGAATTGAAACCCACACTATTGGCATCAGTCCGCAATACAAACCAGCCATCCAAGCTAACCAATCCCTTATTTATTGAAGTAATTTTGTGCACATTCCCATACTTAGTGACTTTACCTGGTTCTGAAGGTACTTGACCTCTAAGACATAAAGAAATGCTGCCTAAAAAAGAATATTGAAAATAGTTAGGAGTGGACGTTGTGTTCGTCCCTGTTAAAATGGTCAAGACGTTTATACACTTACGTTTCCTCCGAAGGTTTGAACCAGACCTGTGTTAGAATTATGCTCAATGTGACTTTTGAGGCCCTATATGGCCCAGGCTATAGCAGCCCTGAACTTGAAAAGTCCAAATATAAAATACTGAGCTAGTCAGCACTTTTGCTTGATGGTCAGCAAGTTGTGGTTTTAAGTCCCATGACAGAAAATTGAACACAGTGCAGCTGAGAGAGTGCTGCATTATGAGACTTTCAGATGAATTGGCAGACCAAGGATAAATTATCAGCACTATTGTAATGAACCTCTGGGAAGAGTGATCATAATTTGATAAAATTTTACATTAAGTTTGAATGCAATTTTGCAAAACTTGAACTTAATATGAAACTTAAATTGAGACAAAGTAAACTGCATAGGTATGAATTGGAAGTTGGCTGAGTTAGATTTAGAAATTAGATTGAGATATCTGATCAAAGACAAAGTTGCTGGAAAAGCTCAGCAGGTCTGACCGCATCCGTGAAGAAAAAATCAGAGTTAACGTTTCGGGTCCGGTGACCCTTCCTCAGAACCCTGATATCTGATGGTAGGTCAACAATGACAAACATTTAAAGAATTAATTCATAATTCATAAAGATCATACCAAAAATGAAACCTCCACAGGCAAAGAGATACAAACATGAAAAACAAGTTAAAGTAGGTATTTCATTAAAGGAAGTGGCTTCACATGAGTGGGAACGGAGAGATAGACATACAGGAGGCAGTGGTTAGAGAACTCGAGACTGCACTGGGATCATATATGTGCTGGGAGCAGTGCTGAGACATTTGTGTGAGTTATCTTTGCTGTATTGAAAAATAACATTTGCATGTTAATGCACAATTAATTACTGTTGGTTTGATCATTATGGCAAATGTTTCATGATGTCAAACTATGTCCATTAGGTGGGGACTCATTCCTTTCTGATATTTTCCTAATCAATCTGTTTGGAAATGTTATGATACAGCTCTGGAGCAAGTGGAACTTGAACCTGGGCCTCCTGGCTCAGAGGTAGGGATACTACGACTACACCACAAGAGCCTTCTCTGTAGGGGTGTAGCAGTTCACATTGGAGAACAGTGTAGTTTAATGGGATTAATGCAAATCATGATGATGCAATTGGTTACATCAGTAAAATGACATCAGCGAGAGAGAAGTTACCAGCTGAGGATGAGAATGGGATGGAAGAGGTGTTAGGCATGACGTTAGTGAGCTGTATTTAAGGACCTTCTATGCATATAAGTAAACAAAGGAGTGTTATGATATATAAGGAATTAAGAAGCCTTACGTAGAATTATGAGCAAGCAGCCTTAGCATATGCACAAGCACACACCATCCTGAGATACTCCAGATCAGCATCTCAATGCAAATGTAACTGCTTCAGTTCAAGGCAATGGATAAAAGCATGCAGCATCTTGGTGAAGTACTGGAGCTCTGTAGCATGTATTTCGTTTGCTTAAGACTTCTTCTGGCACAGAGCCATGGGTTATCAGTCATAGATATTTTAATCAATATTACAACACATGTCTGGGTCAGATGGGACTTGAACCTAGGCCTCCTGGTCCAGGGGTAGGGATACTACCAATATGCCACAAGAGGTCTTATGGATTGAATGTTATTTTTTAATTCCAAATTCACTAATTGCTGAGGTGGGTTTGGAACCCAGGTCTTCGGAATGTTACCTGGGGCTCTCTAGATTACTAATCCAGTGACAATATTACGCAGCCATTACCTTCCCAATAGGGCCAGCGGTCGTTATGCCTCCCGTTTGTGACCAGTTGGGCGAACTGACCTGATCAGGTTGGTTTAATGGATCTATCCAGTTAGTCACGGGTGGATCCATTTTGCAGACTGTCTACATTTCAAGTAATGAATGAATTTTGCTGTCTATTGATCCATCTGCACGTGTGTTTGCTATCGATAATAATTTACTTACAGGAAGACCAGGAATGAATATCATCGCATAGTTTTGTGCTAACCTGCAAGAAAAATAAATGAGACTGTTCACCATAATTAAAACATAGGCCTTCACCACCTCTCACTAATGGTAAATTCGAGCCAAGCCAACACTGTCATGAAGCATGGTGCTGTGCTAACATATCGTGCAAAGTCAATGAGGCAGTAAGATCTGCAACATTGTGGTGTCACGGTCAGACTGCTATGGGAAACACAATGTAAGAACGAAAACATTGTTTTGGAGAGATACTCGCCCAAGGCAACACTGATGTTTCTACTATTATTTGGTCTGGCACAACATTCGTCCAGGCAAGCAGTTAACGTTTGTTTTATAGTCTAATGGGAACGTACAAAATAGGACCAGCAGACCATTAAGCCCATGGAGCCTGATCTGCCATTCATTAAGATTGTGGCTGATCCTTGTGTTTCAAATTCTACATTCCCATGTACTTCCAGTAACCATTGGCTCCCTGCTTAACAAGAATTTTTCAACTTTTATATCAAACATGTTCAATGGCCCAGCCTTCTGAGGCAGAGCTCCAAAGTCACACAACCTTTGGGAGAGAAAAAAAAAATTCTCCTCATCTCTGTTCTGGGAGATTGTCCCAAATTTTAAATCAGAGTCCTCTAGTTCTGGACTGACCCACAAGAGGAACCATACCAACCACATCCCCCATGCCAAATTCTTTCAGGGTCTTATACAACTCAACCAGGTCACCCATCATTGTTCTAAACTCCAGTGAGAACGAGCCCAGCCTGTCCATTTCCTCACTTCCCAGGTACCAATTTAATAAACCTCCTCTGAACCACCTCCATTACATTTGCATCCTTCCTCAAATAAGGAGACATCAAACATACATAGTGCATGATATGTGGTCTCACCAACGCCCTGTATAACTGAAGCATAACATCCCTACTTTTAGATTCAATTCCTCCTCATGCAGGATAGCATTCCATTAGCCTTTGTAATTATGCGCTGTATCTGCATACTAACCTTTTCTGTTTCATGTATTGGAACATCTCAATCCCTCTGGACCTTGGAATTCTGCGGTTATTCTCCCTTTAAGTGATATCCTTCATTTTAGTTCTTCCTGCCAAAGTGAACAACTCCACATTTTCCCACATTCTACTTCTTCTGCCGAATCTTTGCCCCCTTGCTCGACCTATCTGTATCCATGTCTTCTTCACAACACACTTTCTTATCTAGTTTGGTGTTGTCTGCAAATATAGCTACTGTGGCTTCACTCCCCTGATCTACGCTATTTATGTAAACTGCAAACATGGTAAAATGTTTCATTGATATATTCCAGCAGTTTATTTGAAATCACAAGCTTTCAAAGTGCTGCTGCTTCATCAGGTGAAGTCTCACCTTCACCAGGGAGCAGTGCTCCCTGAAAGCTTGTGATTTCAAATAAACCTGTTGGATTATAACCTGGTGTTCATATGATTTCTGACCTTGTCCACCCCAGTCCAACCTCCACATCATTAATCTATGCATGGGAGCAAGTTCCTTCAGTATGTGGCTGGCCAGGACACCTGCAAGATGGAATAAAATTGCAAATGGAAAATGGGCTACTTTCTCACTTGGCTACTGCAGGAGACTGTTTCAAAGCCAATAAAATGTGCTCAGTGTTTATGAAGAAAGCCCAGCAGGGAAAGCAGGCGATCAGGAGAATGAGGATCCCTCGTTGGAGAATCACTCCGATTCGCTTCAGGTTCTTACTGCCAAACGTCTGAAAATTAGCATAAAGGATCAATATTAACTGTTATATCATTTTCAAGTAGACCATATTTTTCTATAACAACTGCAGCAATATTGCAAAAAAACTAATTAAAATGCTCCTATCCCTTAACCAAAGCCATATTAGAACTAATGCATTTTTGCTCAACATTTAACATGCAGTGTTTAGTGAAACCACCAGGGAATCTGAAACATTTTACATATACTTCAAGCAACTGCGTCGTTGTCAACACATTTCAAATATCTCTATCTGGACTTTGGTGTATAACCATCAAACTAAACAGAAATCAGATTCTAACTGAACTGTTCATCAACAAAACATTAACACCTTAGGTTAGACTAGTCCAGATAGTCTCTCTGGGTTGAATGCCAAGTTTTGTCCATTTTAATTCTGTGCTTACGGTCAGTAAGATCATGCGCTAGCAACATCCATTCCTTTCAGCTTTTCAGAACACTGGTTAATATGTTCTCTCCATTTTCTTTCGACGAGTTTACTACGGGGCTCATGATTTGCAAACATTTGACTTACAAATGCTCATACTTCTTTTCACATCCACAAGCATCCACTCCCTCCACCACTGACACTCAGCAGCAGTGTGTGTACAATCCACAAGATGCACTGCAGAAATTCACCAAAGATCCTCATACACCACCTTCCAAATTCACTTCCACCACTTCCACCTAGCAGAGCAAGGGCAGCAGATATATGGGAACACTACTAACTTCATGTCGCCCTCCAAGCCACTTATTGCTGTGGGTCTGGAGTCACATGTAGGCCAGACTGGGTGAGGATGGCAGATTTCCTTCCCTAAAGGACATTAGCGAGGCAGGGTAGGTTTCTCCTGATGATCAACAAAGACTTCATGGTTATTAGTAAATATATTTTTTATTGAATTCAACTTACACCGTCTGCTGTGACAGAATTTGAATCCAGGTCCTCGGAACATTAGTTGAGTTTCTGGATCCATAGTCTAGTGATAATACCAGCAGGATTATCACTGGACTGTTAATCCAGAGACCCAGGTGACATTCTGGGGACCCGGGTTCGAATATCGCCAGGGCAGATGGTGGAATTTGAATTCAATAAATATCTGGAACTAAGAATCTAATGATGACCATGAATCCATTGCCGATTGTCGGAAAAACCCATCCGGTTCACTAATATCCTTTAGGGAAGGAAGCTGCCATCCTCACCTGGTCTGGCCTACATGTGACTCCAGACCCACAGTAATGTGGTTGACTCTTAACTGCCCTCTGGGTAATTAGGGATGGGCAATAAATGCTGCCTGGCCAGCAACACCCTCATCCCATGAATGAATAAAGAGAAAAAAGGCCATTGCCTCCTGAACTTACAAATACAATCGCATAATTTTAAAGACCAGACACATGACCATGTCCATACTTACAAACAGTGGCTTTATATTGGTACATTGAATCCCTACAGTGTGGGATCAGGCCATTTGGCCCATTGAGTCCACACTGACCCTCCAAAGAGCATCCTACCCAGATCTATCCCTGTAACCTTGCATTTCCCATAGCTAACCCACCTACAGGACAACTTAGCATGGCCAATCCACCTAACCTGCACATTTTTGGACTGTGGGAGGAAACCCACACAGACGCCGGGAGAATACGCAAACTCCACACAGAGGGTGGGCTCGAATCTGGGTCCCTAGTGCTGTGTGGCAGCAGTGCTAACCACTGAGCCACTGTGTCGTCCAAATATTGTCCTGCATTGTGTTCCAACTTGAGTACAAATCAACTTGTGAACAGACTCCAGAATGGAACCTATTCACAACCGAGAAACTGCCTGTATCTTCTATATTACCTGAACCATGGTGTAAAGTTTTGGTCTCCTTATCTGAGGAAGGATGGTCTGGCTATGGAGGGTGCGCAGTGAAGGTTTACCGCACTGATTCTTGGGATGACATATGAAGACAGATTGGATCAGCCAGGAATATATTCACCAAAGTTTAGAAGAATGAAGGAAGATCTCATGGAATCCTATAAAATTCTAACAGGACTAGACAGGATAAACACGGAATGGTCTTTCCCAATGACTGCAGAGTCCAGAACCAGGGGTCACAGTAAAAGGATATGGGGTGGCCCATTTAGGATTGAGATGAGGAGAAATGTCTTCACCCAGAGAGTGGTGAGCCTGTGGAATTCACTGCCACAGAAAACGGTTGAGGCCAAAACATTGAATGTTTCCAAGGAGGAGTCAGATGTAGTTCTTAGGACTGAAGGGCTCAAAGGGTATGGGGAGAATGCGGGAACAGGGGACTGAGTTAGATTATCAGCCACAATCACACTGAATGATGGAGCAGGTTTGATGGGCTGAATGGCCAACTCCTGCTCCTATTTTGTACGTTTCTATTTTGCATCACCGCCAAAGCTGAAATTCACAGTCATCATCCTTGCCTGCTAGTTCAGAACTCCTGGCTGAGTTTGACAGATAGATTAATAGACAGGGAATAGAGAGATGCAGACAGTGTGGAGGCAAAAGATTTTTAGTTTAATAAGGTATTGTGTATTGGCATAGTCTTGGTGGGCTGAAAGGTCTGTTCCTGTGCTGTACTGTTCCTGGTTCTTTGCTGTCTATGGCTCAATACTGTTGAAACCAATTGTGGCAGATGTGCAAGGACTGACATCAAATTATTCAGGGCAGACCAAGAATTGTATCTGATACTTTCTTAGTCCATGTGGCTTACACTTGCAAGGGTGTCGATTTCCCTAAAGCAAAGAGTTTAAAGATTATTTTTCCATGAGACAAATGATTAATTGTTGGGAGGCCATCACTTCCCATTGTACAACATGTTGCACCTACCTGAGATAAGAGTGTGTCGCATGCTGCAGACAACCCGACACCGATGGAGGTACCTAATACAGTTGTTGTCTGTCCAAAAACAAAAATGGAAAGAAAGGATTTAGCAGGGTCACCCTGGAGGAGCCCAACATGCCACAGAATAATAGAGTTTATATGCAAATATTTATATATAAATGAATAGAATACCGCGGTGATTTAGTTTTTGTTCTTCATTCTTTCTCTTTACTTCTCTCCTTCGCAGTACTCTTTCAAGCCATGTGCAAACAAATCGAGGGTGATTGGGAGTAACGTTTTTTTTCACACAGTTTAGGGAACAGAATGCACTGCCCGGAAATGTGCTGGAGGCAGGTTCAACTTAGGCATGTCAGAGTGTGTGGATGTTTATTTGGATAGTAATGGTATGCAGGGAAAAGAGGGAAAGGCAGGAGGTTGGCACTAGGTAATAGAACCAGTGCAGGCACGATGGGCCAAATAGCCTCTTTCAGTGCCACAACATTCTGTGATTCTGTGGAATACAAATCCTCAATAATCTTTTGTTTGCTTCAGACTGAACTGTTCCAATGTTTTTTTTTCTGAGCGGAGGAGAATTTCTTCAACCAGAGGGGGATGATGAATCTGTGGAGCTCATTGCTGCAGAAGGCTGTGGAGGCCAAGTTATTGAGTGTCTTTAAAACAGAGACAGATAGCTTCTTGATTAGTAATGGGATGAAGGGTTACAGGGAGAATGCAGGAGAATGGGTTGAGAAACATATTAGCCATGATGGAGCAGACTTGATGGGCTGAATGGCCTAATTCTGCTCCAATATCTTATGCTGTAATGGCCAACATCCAATATCACACCCTTGCTGAATTGAACTGATCCAAAACACTGCCATCGCTGGCCTCACTCACACCAAGCCACCCATACTCTTGAGTAAAGATCCTGCTGAGCTCCATGGCTGAATGGTAACCCGAACATTCCCATGCAGGACGAGCACAAGACTGTCCCTGTACATTACACTGTGAATGAGGCTGCTTCAAAGCTAAACACTCACTGTCCTTTGAAATGAATGGGCTATGCTTAATAAAAACACAACAGAAGATACTGACAATGTTTTATTAAAATACATTGGCTATCAATCATTGGCAACCCCTGATAGTTAGAATTCTTATCGTAGTATTCAACGATTTTTTAAATCAAACTCCCTGCATTTCTGTAACCCGTTCCATCCTCATAACTCTCCACATGCCCTACTTTCATCCCATTCTGAGATAGTAGGAACTGCAGATGCTGGAGAATCTGAGATAACAAGGTGCAGAGCTGGATGAACACGGCAGGCCAAGCAGCATCAAAGGAGCAGAAAGGCTGACGTTTCGGGCCCAGACCCTTCATCAGAAATGGGGGAGGGGAAGGGGGTTCTGAAATAAATAGGGACAGAGGGGGAGGTGGATAGAAGATGGATGGAGGAGAAGATAGGTGGAGAGGAAACAGACAGGTCAAAGAGGCAGGGATGGAGCCAGTAAAGGTGAGTGTAGGTGGGGAGGTAGGGAGGGGATAGGTCAGTCCAGGGAGGACAGACAGGTCAAGGGGGCGGGATGACGTTAGTAGGTAGGAGATGGGGGTGCGGGGAGAAAAGGGGGAGAAAAAAACCTCCCACCCACGGTCTCCAACCTCATCGTTCCCCAACCCCGCACCGCCCGCTTCTATCTCCTTCCCAAAATCCACAAACCTGAATGCCCTGGTCGACCCATGGTCTCCGCCTGCTCCTGCCCCACCGAACTTATCTCCAACTATCTGGACTCCATTTTCTCCCCCTTGGTCCAGGAACTCCCCACCTAAGTCCGTGATACCACCCACGCCCTCCACCTCCTCCATAACTTCCAATTCCCCGGTCCCCAACACCTCATCTTTACAATGGACGTCCAGTCCCTATACACCTGCATTCCCCATACAGAAGGCCTAAAGGCCCTCCGCTTCTTCCTGTCCCGCAGGCCCGACCAGTCCCCCTCCACTGACACCCTCATCCACTTAGCCAAACTCGTCCTCACCCTCAACAACTTCTCTTTCAATTCCTCCCACTTCCTAAAGACAAAGGGGGTGGCCATTGGTACCCGCATGGACCCAAGCTATGCCTGCCTCTTTGTAGGTTACGTGGAACAATCCTTCTTCCGTACCTACACCGGCCCTAAACCCCACCTCTTCCTCCGTTACATTGATGACTGTATCGGCGCCGCCTCGTGCTCCCACAAGGAGCTCGAACAGTTCATCCACTTCACCAACTTCCACCCCAACCTTAAGTTCACCTGGACCATCTCTAATACCTCTCTCACCTTCCTGGACCTCTCTGTCTCCATCTCGGGCAACCACCTAGAAACCGATATCCGTTTCAAGCCCACCGACTCCCACAGCTACCTAGAATACACCTCCTCCCACCCACCTTCCTGCAAAAATACCATCCCCTATTCCCAATTCCTTCGCCTCCCGCCGCATCTGCTCCCAGGATGAGGCATTCCACTCCCATACATCTCAGATGTCCTCATTTTTCAAGGACCGCAACTTCCACCCCCTTCAGTGGTCGAGAACGCTCTCCACCATGTCTCCCACACTTCCCGCAACTCATCCCTCACACCCCGTCCCCACAATAACAACCAACAAAGAATCCCCCTCGTCCTCACGTACCACCCCACCAACCTCCAGATCCAACGCATCATCCTCCGACACTTCCGCCATCTGCAATCCGACCCCACCACCACAGACATTTTTCCCTCCCCACCCTTATCTGCTTTCCGGAGGGACCACTCTCTCTGTGACTCCCTTGTCCGCTGCACACTCCCCTCCAGCCCCACCACACCCGGCACTTTTCCCTGCAACCGCAGGAAGTGCTACACCTGCTCCCTCACCCACATCCCAGGCCCCAAGAAGACTTTCCACATCAAGCAGATGTTCAACTGCCCATCTGCTAACGTGGTATATTGCATCCGCTGTACCCGTTGTGGCCTCCTCTACATTGGGGAAACCAAGCGGAGGCTTGGGGCCTGTTTTGCAGAACACCTATGCTCGGTTCGCAATAAACAACTGCACCTCCCAGTCGCGAACCATTTCAACTCCCCCTCCCATTCCTCAGATGACATGTCCAACCTGGGCCTCCTGCAGTGCCACAATGTTGCCACCCGAAGGTTGCAGGAACAGCAACTCATATTCCGCTTGGGACCTTTCACAAGCTTCAAAATCTCCCCTCCCCCTACCGCATCCTAAAACCAGCCCAGCTCGTCCCCACCTCCCTAACCTGTTCTTCCTCTCACCTATCTCCTCCTCCCACCTCAAGCCGCACTCCCATCTCCTACCTACTAACCTCATCCCACCCCCTTGACCTGTCCATCCTCCCTGGACTGACCTATCCCCTCCCTAACTCTCCACCTACACTCACCTTTACTGGCTCCATCCCTGCCTCTTCGACCTGTTTGTTTCCTCTCCACCTATCCTCTCCTCTATCCATCTTCTATCCGCCTCCCCCTCTCTCCCTAATTATTTCAGAACCCCCTTCCCCTCCCCCATTTCTGATGAAGGGTCTCGGCCCGAAACGTCAGCCTTCCTGCTCCTATGATGCTGCTTGGCCTGCTGTGTTCATCCAGCTCTACACCTTGTTATCTCAGAGTTTGAGTAGATCATGTATTTCTTTAACATAATTGTGGGTTCAGTCACACCATTGGAGATATAAAGATTTCTTCCTGACATTAATGCCTCTTGCGTATCTCTTATTCCTTCTCCTACTCTCATTGCAGTTTTCACTTTGTCATTGTTGCAGTGAAAGCTACCAGTTCTGTCTTTACTCTGGGTATTGCAAGCCAGCCCAGTAAGTCCTACACATCAATTTTCATCCTATACATTAGCTCTAACATTTTCACTTTTACTGATATGTTGTCGCCATGCTCTTGCTAGGTACTTACGTAGGGATTTTGCGCATTGCTGTGAATTTCTGAGAGATTTGTTACCCTGTCTTTCCCATCTTGGACTGTTACTCGGTGACAATGGTTCTCCCTCTACACTGACTTACAATGGCTCGTCCTCAGCACTTAGATTCAACAGGTTTGCAAATACCATGTACCTCAAATAGTTGTTGGTGCATGCATGAATAATAATAGAAATAATAGAAATGGATATTATTTCAATTCACTGCCAATTCACTAAGCCTACAGCTGTAGGCTTAGTGAATTGGCAGTGAATAGAAATGACATCCAGGCGCTTCCTGTAGTCAGGTGTTGGTCTACAACACCAGTTTTAAACCTGGCTGGCAAGTTGAAAAAATCAGAGATAGTAGGAACTGCAGATGCCGGAGAATCCGAGACAACAAGGTGCAGGGCTGGATGAACGCAGCAGGCCAAGCAGCATCATAGGAGCAGAGAGGCTGACGTTTCGGGCCTAGACCCTTCATCAGAAAAGGGGGAGGGGAAGGGGGTTCTGAAATAAATAGGGTGAGAGTGGGAGGCGGATAGAAGATGGATAGAGGAGAGGATAGGTGGAGAGGAAACAAACAGGTCGAAGAGGCGGGGATGGAGCCAGTAAAGGTGAGTGTAGGTGGGGAGTTAGGAAGGGGATAGGTCAGTCCAGGGAGGACGGACAGGTCAAGGGGGCGGAATGAGGTTGGTCGGTACTTGTGCCTTCAAATCTAGTATCAATAATTGGATGTGAAGGGTTTTGAAACGTCCTGAAATTTTAGAAAATCCTACATAGGAGTTCTTTCCTTTAACATAACATAAATGCAATAATGCATTCCACACAACAAATGGTGGCCATTAATCATTTAATGCCCACTGCCCATTATTCAGGCACAGTGAAGGCTCTGGGTAAATGTGAAACAGCAAGGAAGACTGGGAGAAGTTAGCAATCAGCAACCTTCAATTACATCACTTTTGTTTTGTTGAATGATACAGAAAGTTATGCTTTTACGTTTTTATTAATATTAGTTTTTTTTAGTTTATATCCATGTTCCCAATTTAATTCCCCAATCCCCCAAAATTCCACAAACTCCCCAGTTGTTCTAAAAGATTTGGAACAGAGGATTTACTGTCGTGGGTTTTCCCATTCTCTT